CCCTGATATCAGTCCTGTTCAATAACAATGGCACTATGCAGTATTTGTCCTTTGGTGACTGGGATACTTCACTCAGCATTAATGTCCTCCAGGGTCACCCATTTTGAATAATATTGCATGAGTTCCTTGTTTTCAATGCAGCGTAGTAGTCATTCCATTGTGTGAATATACCAGAGCTTCTCTATCCATTTGTTTGTTGATGGGCACTTAGGTTGTTTCTATGATCTTACTATTTTTAAAGATTGCAGGAAAATTATTTTGTTGAACATTCCTCCAGTGACTCCTTTCTTCATGATTAGATTCATCATAAATTTTTAGCAGAAATATCACAGAAATACTGTGTTCCTTATATGCCATCAAATGGTACACAGGCTAAGTTTGTCCTATCAATGTGAAATTAACCTTATTCATTGGAGTAGGGAACTACTGTGAAGTTTTTCCACTCTAAACTTACTAATGTATACATTAGTTAAGGAGACACAGGGGTGAAACATTAATTCAGTCATCTACCAGTACAAAATGGCTTGGTGTGGGGTGATCATATTCAGAAAACCTCAGAGAGGAAAAGTATTTTCTTATTGGCAAAGAAACCTAATAATTATAACTTAGTTTTCAGTTAATGGTTTCTAGGTTTGAGAATACATTTATTACCCATGTATTTTGTTTTCCTGTGTGCTAAAAAAAAATCAGACTGACCATATCAGGGGAAAGAATCATTAGAGAAGTTCAATATCAGAAGTTAAAAACCCGGACTATTGCTGACTGCGGAAGAAACCATCAATTGCTCATGTGCAAGTTCAAATTGAAGTTTAAGAAAATGAAGACAAGTCCACAAGAACCAAAATACAGCCAGTAGCAAAGCAAGATGTTCAAGGTCAGAGTGATGGTCACGGTTCTGGAGGGGGCAAGAAAGATGACAAAGGCAGAAATAGGGACCCCCTGTACCAAGAGTGGGAAGAAGAAAAGGAAGGGGCCAGATGCTTCCAGCAAAAAGCATCACACACTCAGCCCAGTTGATATTACTGAAGTTGGAGAGAATTAAAGACCATCTCCTCATGGAGGCAGAATTCATTAGAATTCAGGAGCAAAGGAAGCCACTAGAAGAAAAGCCAGAGGAAGAGATGCCAAAGGCAGGTGATCTGAGGGGGACCCCAACTCCAGTTGGAACGCTGGAGGAGACCACACACCATGGGTCTACGTCCGTGGGCTGGGAGCACTATGTTGGCATTCTTCTATTTGTGGACCTGCTAGAGCCCGGCTCTTCTCCTTCTCAACCACAAAGTGCATGCAGTGACTGGGATGCTAATGGGTAACATCGATCCCAGTGATGAAGGTGAGAAGGGTCACCCCAGGAGACCTGAGCTCACCTTGGCGGATGGGGCAACTGAATTCAGGAATTTAAGGAATCTGTGGAGCTTCCTCAGTATTCATCCTGAGTTTAGGAAAAGATAAGCATCAAGCCTCCTTGGGGGTCAGTATCTATGGCCCAACTGGCACAGGTAAAACACTATTAGCCAAAGCAGTAGCAAACCAAACCTTGATCACATTCCTGCGAAAACTTGTCCAGAAGTACCTGGGAGATGATCCAGCTCATGCAGTAGTTTTCCAAGCTCCTGTGGAGCAGGCCTCATCCATCGTGTACACAGATGAGATTGATGTCGTCAGGACAAAAAGATATAACTCAAATTCTGGTGGGGAGAGCGATCCAGTGAACGATGTTGGGATACTTGAGCCAGTTGGATGGATTTGATTTGAGGGAGGAAGTGAAAGTCATGGCCACAAACCAGATAGAAACCTTAGATCCAGCGCTCATCAGACCAGGCCACACTGACAGGAAGATCAAGGTCCCCCTGCCAGATGAGAAGACAAAGCAGTGCATCTTTCAGATTCACACAAGCAGGATGACCTTGGCCGATGATGTAACCTTGGATGACTTGATCATGGCCTTGAGAGAATGGAGAATCAAAGTCACAAAGAAAGACTTCAAAAAATCGAAAGAAAATATTTTGTTCATAAAAAAAAGAAAGAAAGCACCCCTAAGAAGCTCAATCTCTAAGTGAACATACGCCCAGGAGAAGGGATTGGGGATCCTGCCCAAAGATCCATATTCCCGGTGATTTCAGTAAGCAAACACTGCACACCCGGCAGGCTACACCATCCTTCTGTAGGCCCATGACAATCAAGCTGTTTCAATAATTCTACTTTCAGAGATCCTGTGTCCTGTTTCCAGATTCTCCAGTCTGCCAATCAACAGCCAAAAAGTAGGGGTCAAGAAGCTTCTGGGCAAGAAATCCTGGGGCTGGTGGTCCCTGTGGCCTCCAAAGTCAGTGGTAGAATTGTACAACAGTAATTAACAGGAGAGAGTAATCATGACCACATACCAGGAATCCTTGTCGTTTAAATAATAAAGGCTGAGAGGGCGACGCAGCGCGAGGGCGATGCAGTGCGAGGGTGACACAGCGTGAGGGCGA